TCCTGTAATGCAAACCAAACATATAGCAGCTACCTGTCACATATAATGGGACAGCAAAGTTAGTACTTAATGCCATTCACCAGTGTAATGATCATTTTAACTATGTATGTGCTGCACTTAGTTAATTGCCAAAAAAAAAAATCACTGGTTGTGCTCATAAGCAACTATGCTGGCGTATTTAGTAAACTATCAAAATATTAGCATTGAAATATTGCATTTCGTTACTATTTAAAATGTCAAATTGGTTACATTTATTATCAGTACTGACTCATAAGAGCAAGTAATTATTTCACCATGTTTTAAATATTTTTAATTCACAAGCTCATCAACAAAATGTTTAAAGCATGAGAATCTGTGTTAGGGCACAATAGTTCCATGACATTTAAAATATTCTGGACATGCAGTGTAAGATGGTCAAACTGACACAGTATAAGTACACATGGTCCCAAGGGACTTTGTATTTTTAGAATGAAACAAACAACACTTGGCACATAACAAGCCGAGTATGAAATGCTGTCATAACAAAGACAGATAAGCCATCCAGTGAGGGTTACGTGTAGATTAGAATCATAGAGAAAATGACCTTTAATGAAGAGTGAGTAAACTGGCTAACAATGTTTTTTGTCGTTGCCATTAAGTCATATGATGGAAAATAAAAGAAAATTAATAAAATATAATTATGATGGCAGAAACAGGATACCATAGGAAACCATTGCAATGGTACTTAAAAATTCTGTTAATTAAAGATTAAAGATTAGAGCTTTAAGATACACAGAAAACCTTTTTTTTTTTTTAGTTTTGTTCTATATATTGGGATGATGCATACTGTAGTCATTGCTGCCTACACAGGGCCGCCATTAGAAATTTTGGGGCCCCTGACAAAGCACATGGTCTGCCGCCCCCCCCCCTCCCCACTCCCTCCTTCCTTGGCCCGCCCACCCCCTACCTAGTCCGCTGACAATGATGCAGGACTGAATTTGGTGTGTATAGTGGAAGTGAATTAGAATGTGTGTAACGGATGTAGTGTTTGGGTGTATTAGATACTGTTTGTGCAGTGAATGCAGAGTGTGTGTTTGTGTAGCGGATGCAGTGTGTATAGTGAACGCAGAGTGTATTTGAGTAGTGGATGTAGTGTATGTACAGTGATGTAGTGTGTGTTTGTGTAGTGGATGTAGTGTTTGTATGTACTAGATGAAATGTGTTTAGTGGATGCATTGTCTGTAGTGGATGTAGTGTGTGTATTAGACGCAGTGTCTATGTATAGTGAATGCAGAGTGTTTCAATTTGTGGTGGATGTAGTGTGTGTACTGTGAATACAGGATGTTTGTGTAGTGGATGCTGTGTGTACAGTTAATGCAGAGTGTGTGTCAGTATAGTGAATCCAGAGTGTGTGCATAATTAAGTGAATGCAGAGTGTGTGTTAGTGTTATGAATGCAGAGTGTGTGTTAGTGTGTAGTGAATGCAGAGTGTGTCAGTGTATAGAATGTAGTGTGTGTGTTAGTGCAGTGAATGCAGAGTGTGTGTAAATTTGTAGTGAATGCAGAGTGTGTGCTAATGTGTAGTGAATGCAGAGAGTGTGTTAGTGTGTAGCGGATGCAGAGTGTGTGTTAGTGTAGCGGATGCAGAGTGTATGTTAGTGTAGTGAATGCAGAGTATTAATGTGTAGTGAATGCAGAGAGTGTGTTAGTGTGTAGTGGATGCAGAGTGTGTGTTAGTGTAGCGGATGCAGAGTGTGTGTTAGTGTAGTGAATGCAGAATGTGTTAATGTGTAGCGAATGCAGAGTGTGTGTCAGTATAGTGCAGGGGTAGGCAACCTTTTAGCAGCACTGTGCCGATATAGGATTGTGATGTGAGTCCCCTTTTTGAAGGTAATACATTAATAAAATATGCAATACGGAAAGCCAGTGGGGTTAAACCAGGAGCTGTATAAAAGTAAATTAAACTAGGCCCAAAAAGGCAGTTGTTAAATAAATAAATCTCAATTTCTGTTTTTGTATTTCACTCATGATTTTGTGACAAAATTACCAGTTTAGCAAATAACCCTATATGCGTGCCATCTGCTCTATTTTTCGTGGTTATTTATTACCCTGGAACAGAGTTTTTATTCTTTAGATTTTAAACTTATGGTCTTTGTTATCACACAAAAGATAGCAACATATGGGCCTAGATGGGACAGGTTAGGAGGATGTCCCTGTGTTCTGGAGTGACTCCAACGTTGCATCATTGACATTGCTTTCCTGTGTAATACTTATCATGAGTAATCTATAAGAGAAATTGCAAGCTAGGGAGGGTTTGTCTTACAAATGTTTTGGACATGTAACACAAAAGGAAAGATCTGCATTTGTGCTCAGTATTCATAGTTTTTGGATTTCTGTGCATATGGAGCATAATATCTCTTCCCAACAACACATTCTCATCTACTGTTTGTACCAGTTGCATTGTTTGTCCTTACAACAACTACACTATCCATTGTCTTTCATTTATCCTGATGCTGCGTACATGGGCATCTGCAGGAATTATTCCGGGGAGGCAGGGAGGCATAATTGTAATGACATCCATGCTTGGTCCCTTTTTGACAGTGTCATGAAAGGGCATAGTCATTATCACATAAAGACAGAGTGAATAGCGTTTTCACAACCAGAAAGGAACATTCTGGTCACCATTACAACTTCATCTAAATTACTCTCTAAGCCAATCGCTAGTTCCCGGTTCAAAAAAAAGTTTTACTTTTTTATGAATGTGGAGCTACTTGTTGGCTTAGAGTGCCAGCTGACCGCTCTAGCCAATCAGCGACAACCCTACCCAGCAGCACTCTGTGCTTCCTGACACTCACTAAATAAAAGTGAACACATTAACACTGAGATGAGAAGGTCCAAAGTTTCCCTGCCAGGCCCAGGTACCAAATGATGTGTTATCCAGAATTATTATTATTATGATATTTATAGAGCGCCGTCAAATTCCGCAGCGCTTTACAATGAGTAGACGAACAGACATGTAGTTGTAACCAGACAAGTTGGACACACAGGAACAGAGGGGTTGAGGGCCCTGCTCAATGAGCTTACATGCTAGAGGGAGTGGGGTAAAATTACACAAAAAGGTAAGGATAGTATTAGACTAGTGACAGTTGCAGAAGAGGAATCAGTCAGGAGCTATTAACAGTTTAATTGATACACTTTTATGAAGAAGTGGGTTTTTAACGATTTTTTGAAGGAGTGGAGACTGGGTGAGCATCTAACGGAGGAGGGAAGCGAGTTCCACAGGAACGGTGCAGCCCTCGAGAAATCTTGAAGGCGAGCATCAGAGGTGGGAGTACGGACAGAGGATAGACGTAAGTCTTCAGCAGATCGTAAGGGCCTAGACGGGATATACTTGTGTATAAGGGAGGATATATAGGTGGGAGCAGCATTATGTAGAGATTTAAAAGCAAGAACCAGAATTTTAAATTGAGATCTATATTTTATAGAAAGCCAATGTAGGGACTGACAGAAGGGTGAGGCATGGGAGGTGCGGGCGGAAAAGAAGATGAGCCTTGCCGCCGCATTCATTATGGACTGTAACGGCGCTAGTTGGGAGCACGTAAGACCACTGAGAAGCAGATAACAGTAGTCAAGGCGAGAAAGGACAGGAATGGACCAACACCTTAGTCGCATCTGGCGTTAAGTGGGGGCAGATGCGCGCAATGTTTTTGAGATGGAAATGACAGGATTTGGCGATAGATTGAACATGAGGCTTGAAGGAGAGGTTGGAGTCAAAGAGAACACCTAGGCAGCGATCCTGCGTGGTGGAGCTGATGGTAGCACCGTTGACTTGGAGGGAGACAGACACGGGAGTAGCAACACTTGAGGGAGGAAAGACCAGAATTTCAGTTTTGGTCAAGTTTAGTTTAAGGAAGTGGGCAGCCATCCAGTTAGAAACAGCAGAGAGGCAGTCAGAGACACTAGTCAAGAAGAACGGGGAGAGATCAGGAGAGGACAGGTAGATTTGCGTGTCATCTGCATAGAAATGATATTGGAAGCTAAAGGAGCTAATGAGTTTACCAAGGGAGGCAGTAGAGATGGAAAACAGTAGGGGACCAAGGACTGAACCTTGGGGGAAACCAACAGAGAGGAGTTGGTTAGAAGAAGCAGAGTCAGAGAAAGAAACACTGAAAGAGCGCTAGGAGAGGTAGGAGGAGCACCAGGCGAGAGCGATATCTTGTAGACCGATATTGGGGAGGATGAGAAGAAGCTGTTGATGATCAACAGTGTCAAAAGCCGCAGACAGGTCAAGTAGAATTAGGATAGAATAGTGACCATGAGATTTTGCAGCAAGTAGATCATTGGATACTTTGGTCAGTGCCATTTCCACAGAGTGGAAACCAGACTGAAGCAGGTCTAGCAGAGAGTTGGACTCAAGGAAGTCTGTCAATCTCGCATACACAATTTTTTCAAGGATCTTGGATGCAAAAGGCAGTAGCGAGATAGGACGATAGTTGGATGGGGAGTTAAGGTCAAGATTGGGCTTCTTTAGAATTGGGGTTACAGTTGCATGTTTGAAGGGCAATGGAAATATACCAGAGGAGAGAGAGAGATTCAGAATTTTAGTGAGAGGTGGAGAAAGAGAAGAAGACAGAGTACGGATGAGATGCAAGGGAATTGCATCTAGGGAGCAGGTGGTGGGGCGGGAGGACAGGAGCAGAGCAGAAACCTCTTCCAATGTAGCGGGTGCGAATGAACAGCAGAGGGAGTGAAGTTAGGGGAAGTATTGTAAGGGGAAGAAGAAAGATGAGAGATCTCTTCTCTGATTGTAGAGATCTTGTCAGTGAAGTGAGTTGCAAAGTCTGAGGCGGTCAAGTTAGTAGGTGGAGGAGGAACAGCAGGGCGAAGAAGAGAGTTAAATGTGTGAAATAGTCGTTTGGGTTCGCGGGAGAGTGTGGTTATGAGGGTATTGAAGTAATTAACTTTTGCAGAGGAAAGAGCCAAGCTGTATGAGCTCAGCATAAATTTATAGTGGAGAAAGTCAGATGCACAGTGAGACTTTCTCCAACAGCGTTCAGCAGTTCTGGAGCATTTTTGGAGGTATCGAGTGAGCTTGGTGTGCCAGGGTTGTTGTTGGGGTGGCATGCGGCGTTTAAATGTACAAGGTGCCATGATGTCTAGTTGAGAGGAGAGGGTGGAATTGTAGAAGGAGGTTGCAGAACTAGGACAGGTGAGGTTTGAGGTAGGTAAAAGGAGAGTTTGGAGACTAATGGAGAAATGCTCTAGGTCAAGACATTGGAGGTTTCTGTGAGAGTGATGTTTAGACGGTGGTGTCAATTGGGTCTTAGGTATGCGAATGTCAAAAGTCAGCAGATGGTGGTCAGATGAGAAAAAGGAATATTGGAGAGATTAGAGGCAGTACAGACGTTGGTGAAGGCAAGATCAAGAGTGTTTCCTGCTGTATGGGTTGCTAGATTGGACCATTGCGTAAGGCCAAAGGAGGAGGTTACAGAGAGCAGACGAGAGGCATCAGTGCAATTGGGGTTATTGATTGGGATATTGAAATCCCCAAGTATAAGAGGAGTGCTAGATGAGAGGAAGTGGGGAAGCCAGGAATAAAAGTGCTCAATGAATAGTCTAGGATAACCGGGGGGGGCAGTAGATGATAGCAATTCTTAAAGGAGTGGGTTTAAAAAGTGGAGCGTTCACTTCACTTGTCCTTCCTGCTCCAATCTCCTTTTCTTCTCCTTCATTTGACACAGTCTTCTTTTTCTTCTGACACTGTCTTCTCTCCTCCTTGGCTCCTTCACCGTTCTGCTACTTTCTGCTTATTTTGTGCGCTTCTCCTACTTTACCTTTGTGCTTCTTCTGATTCTTTTTTTCTGTCCCTTTCTGCTCTTTTCAGACCTTTCCTTCTCCTTGCTGCCCCTTGCAGACCCTTCCCGCTAATTTATGTTCCTTCTCCTACTTTACCTTTGTGCTCCTTCTGTCCGTGCCCGCTCCTTGCGGACCCTTTTTGCTCATTCTAATTTACCTTTGTGCTGCTTTACCTTCCAGCTCCTTGCTGACCCTTCTTGCTCGTTGCTGCCCCTACCTGCTCATTTCTGTTCTTTTGTGCTCCTTCTCCTACTTTATCTTTTGTGCTTCTTGCTGCCCCTTTCTGCTCCTTGATGTCCCTTCATGCTCATTTCTGTCTCTTCTCTTTTCTACTAATCCTCTTACTTTACCTTTCTGCTCCTTGCTGATCCTTCCTGTATGCTGTCTACACCATCCCTCACTTACCTGATCTCTAGGCTTTCTCCCCCACCTCCCACTTACCTGATCTCTAGGCTTTCTCCCCCCACCTCACTCTCTACCTGATCTCTAGGCTTTCTCCCCCCACCTCTGCTACTTACCTGATCTCTAGGCTTTCTCCCCCACCCTCACCTCTACCTGATCTCTAGGCTTCTCCCCATCCTTCACTTACCTAAACTCTAGGCTTTCCCCCCAATCCCTCACATCACTTACCTGATCTCTAGGCTTTCTCCCCCCACCTCACTTACCTGGATTCTAGGCTTTCCCCAACTCCCTCACACTTTACCTGATCTCTAGGCTTTCTCCCCTCCAGCAATCCCTCACTTACCTGATCTATAGGCTCTCTCCTCCCCAATCCCTCACTTACCTGATCTATAGGTTTTATCACCCCCATCCCTCACTTACCTGATCTATAGACTGTCTCCCCTCCCACCATCCCTTACTTACCTGATCTATATGCTCTCTCTCCCCCCCATGCCTCACCTGATCTGTAAGCTGTCCCCTCCATCCCTCACTTACCTGATCTGTAGGCTGCCCCCATCCCTCACTTACCTGATCTGTAGGCTGCACCTGCCCATCCCTCACTTATCTGATCTGTAGGCTGTCTCTGCATGCTGGGAGTTGCTGGCTGCCCTCTGTCCTGCTCCCCTGCAGATGCAGTCAGGAGAGAGAAGCAGGGATAAGATGTAGTTTCCTATCTCTGTCTCTCTCTTACTGGCCGGCGCTGGTATTGCACTGTATTTTCAATCTCACACGAAAAATAGCAGAACAAGCCCATGGCTGCTTACAAGATATAACTTGGCCATCTACTTCTCTCCAGCTTCTTACTCTATGTCCATCCTCTGCAAATGTCACAATTAAACAATTCCATTAACAATTATATTCTGTGCTTGTATACTGCATCTTATCACAGGTTACATATACCAAGTTACTACTAGTATATGGCAAGTAAGTCAGATCAGATATTACATTATAAATACAACTGGTATATAGGTAATTGTGTCTTCTGCATAACAGCATATTTGCCATCAATATATAGTATTTTTTTTATTCATGATTTGCCGGTTTAGAAGGACTGGAAGCTGCACAGTTTACTATATTATATATATATCTGGAGAGCTAGGCCCATCTTTTTGAATTCTATAGTGATTCAAGCAAACCAGCCGTAAATATTTTCCACAATTCTCATTGACCAGAAACCTTGGATGTTTTCGGGGTACCACGATTGAATATAGGTACCAACTAGGGTTCATTCAAACTAAAAATTTTAGTGAAGTGAAATTGAAACTGCAAAATTATAATATTCAAAATTGCTGTAGACAAGGGGTTCCCAATTAATTTTTCCCGTGGAACCCTTTGACATAGTGTATCAACATCGTGGAACCCCCCGGGTTGGGCCAAACCCCAATTAGGGTTATGGAAAATGCTGTTATACATTGTAAGCACATCTGACCAAGCTCCTCATCTACTGTTTGAGGATCTATTTTTATTGTTCCTGTATCATTTCGTAATTGTCCCATTTCTTGTTAAAATTTCACCTTCCATAATATTGTACAGCGCTGCGGAATAAATGGACGCTAAATAACAATACTAAAATAAATAAAACAAAACTGATTATATCCACGCCCCCACCCCAGTAAACAAACAATTAGAGAGATGCAAAGATTGTTCCTTTTTTTTATTATTATTACAGATCAGTCAGTATGATTTGTTTTTACTTTTAGGTAAATAATTCTTCAACATAATGTAGGTAGCGAGGGGAGGATGAGATAATTGTGTTTTCTTCCCATAACCATTGCCTGTTTTGACAGTTTCATTTGCCAGGAGTTATTTCACACAAAAACACCAGACAGAACTCTACAGATGATCCTGAACAGGCACTTGTGATGACTGTCTTGCATTGCCCTTACATACACATTTATTTTTACATCATACATAAGTGACAGCTTTGAAGCTGAAAGGCCTTTTAAATCTTTTACACAGAAATATAGACAAAACAGGCCATGGATTCTGGATTTAAAAAAGTAATTAGAAATTGTGTAGTGTTTGCAGGGCTGCCATCAGAAATGTTGGGGCCCCTGACACAGCTCAAGGTCTGGGCCCCCCGGTGCCTGCACCCGAGTCCGCCCAAAGTGCTGCCCCCCCCGAATCCGCCCACAGGGATGCAGTGTCTACAGGGCCGGTGCAAGGATTTTTGCCGCCCTAGGCAAAAGTAAAGTTTGCCGCCCCCCCATGTGACATCACAATGCCCCACCCATGTGATCTGCCATGTTAACTAACAGCAGTGCTGCAGTGCCGCCGTGTTTACATTAAAAGGCCTGCAGGGACAGGCTAGACACCAGAACCACTACATTAAGCTGCAGTGGTTCTGGGGACTATAGTGTCCCTTTAATGTGAGGTAAATTAGAGATTAGTGCCACGAATAATATACTAGATTGCCTACTTACAACCAGATGAGGATGATGAAGATGGGCTCTAGCTGCCGTCTGGCTCCACTGGTCTGGTGTACAACAGGCTCTCTGGAGGCGGTTTGTAACTGGTCACAAAAATCACTGTTCTGGGAGAACGGGAAGCAGCTCCATTTTTTTGAGGGCCCTTTACACAGCTCAATGTCTGGGTCCCAGGGTCCACCTTCATGTTCCACCAATGAGTTTGTTCACAGGGAGTGGAGTGTGTGTGTGTGTGTGGGGATGTCCTGATGTGTGTAAGGAATGCATTGTGTGAATCTGTGTAAGGGCTGCAAGATGAGTTTGTGTATGTATGGGATGCAGTGTGTGCGTCTGTAAGGGATGCATTGAGTGTGTGTAAGGGGTGCATTGTGTGTTGCTGTGTGTAAGGGATGCATTGCTTGTGTACGTGTATCTGTGTGTAATGCATTGTGTTTTTCTGTGTGCAAGGGGTGCATTGTGTGTGATGGATGTCAATCTCCCCCCTCTCCCTCCAATTTCCTTCTTCTCCCCCTCCCTCTCCAATTTCCTACTTCCCCCCTCCAATTTCCTTCTTCTCCTCCTCCCTCTCATTTCCTTCCTCTCCCCGTCTCTCAAATTTCCTTCCTCTCCCCCCGTCCCTCAAATTTCCTTCCTCTCTCCCTGCCTCAAATTTCCTTCCTCTCCCCCCTCCCTCCCTCAAATTCCCTTCCTCTCCCCCCTCAAATTTCATTCCTCTCCCCCCCTCCCTCAAATTTCATTTCTTTCCCCCCCATTTCATTCCTTCCTCCCCCTCTCCTCATTTCATTCCCTTCCCCCCTCCCATTTCATTCTTCCTCTCCATTTATTCTCTTCCTATCCCTCCCATTTCATTCTTCCTACCCTCCCATTTCTATTCCTTCCCTTTCCTCCTATTTCTATTCCTTCCCTATTTTATTCCTTCTCCCTCCCCATTATTCCTTCCATTTCTCCTTCTCCCCCCATTTCTATTCCTCTCTCCCCTCCCATTTATTCCTTTCTCTCCTTCCCATTTCATATTCTTTCTCTTCTCCTCCCTCCCATTTCATTCTTCTTCTCCTTCCCCTATTTCATTCCTTCCCTCCTATTTCTATTCTTTCTTCTCCTTCCCCATTTCATTCTTCTCCTCCTCCCATTTCATTCTCTCCCCCTATTTCCTTCTCCTCCATTTCATTCCTTCTCCTTTCCCCCCATTTCCTTCCCTCCTTCTCCTTCCCCCCTCCCATTTCATTCCTTCTCCTTCCCCCCTCCCATTTCATTCCTTCTCCTTCCTCCCTCCCATTTCATTCCTTCTCCTTCCCCTCTCCCCCATTTCATTCCTAACCCCCACTCCCTCGAATTTCATTCCTCCTACCCCCCGACACTGGCGGCGGGGCGGGCAGGCAGGCATACTGATGCCGGAGCCGGAAGATGACGTCATCTTCCGGCTCCAGCATCAGTACGGTGCGCGAGGGAGCTGAAGAGGAAGCACACAGAGAGTGCTCCCTCGCGCGCCCGCCGGGTGTCAGCAGGGCCAGCC